ATTACGTACGGAGACTCGCGAATGTCCGAGCTAGCGTAGACTCGTCGAATTCCCCTTGTCGATTTATGCTGCCAGAGATGGCGCGTCGATTGTCAGATTAATTACTACGCACTTCACAATTCACAACACAACAATCATACCTGCGTCAAAACTTCAAGATGCGCATGTAGTCACGTGACCAGGCACTATAACCCGCGGCGGACAAACTAGTCGAGCGAACGTTAATTATATATATATAGAAGTATAGATTACATGAATAAAATTACGAAATATTTTCGTCACGTTTATAAAGAGAAATTATATTAATTCTTAATACACAATGATTTTCTAGTCCTTCATTAGGCACGATAGGTATTTGTGTTTAATTTACATCACTTTATATTATTTATTACATTATATAATTAATTATATTCGGATAAATTTGTAGTTTTTGATGTGTAGATCGCGATTCTTTATTTTGGATGATTTTATAACAATAGTAACCTGTGTGTTCTTGCACTATGAAAATATTATTGAATATCAAGACCCTTAATACAATGTCAATATTTACAATGACAAATAAGACGCAATAGAAATATACAAACGCAGTGCCAATTTGGTCGACTTGCATCACGAATGACTGAAAAGGGGGGGAAGTATCATATTTCCTAAGCTCTATATTTATATAAGCACAATATGTTCCCAATACTCTAAATATTTCAAAAATCACTTTAAGTATGAGATGTAAGAAAGTAAAGCTGAAACTGAAGCTGAATGATCTTTTTTTTTACCTGATATAACATCGACGTTTCAATCGGTATTATCCACATCTTGAAACAGCAATTACGTTTTGCAATCAACAAGTCAATAAGCACTAATAATCTAAAAGGTATATACCATGTATTGCTGCAGTTACCACGCACTATTTATGTTTCTGAAGGATCCACAAATCTTAGAACATATACTACTGGAAGCGGAATAGGGCGCTGAACGTGAAGCCAACATCTGTGCGAGAAAAGAAGGTATAGAGTCCCAAATGTTAGCAATGCGCATGCGTCAGTATCACGGCTGTGTGAATTGTACAGTTGTATAGGCTGCGTTCGGAAACATCACCCGAATACCTCTATGTATCGTTTTATCCTTGTTGCTCACCCAATGTTAAATAAGGATAATGCTGGATTCACACTGTATCCGATTTTCGTCGTACGACGCTCTTCAACCAATCAGAAAACAAAATAAAATTCCGATGATACGAAGCAAAATCCATCGGAATCCTGTTTTCTGATTGGTTGCAGAGCGTCGTACGACGCAAATCGGATGCAGGGTGAATCCAGCATAAGGTGATATACAGGGGCCCGGGTGATATTTCCGAACGCAGCCTTAGCCCTCATATCCCTTAGATCTTCATACGGGCAACAGCGCTTTGATACCGAACGCTGATTGGTGAAAAACGGGTGATGGGGGTAAATTTTAGGCTGGCACCCAGTTGGACACGGCTCAATTGGATACGAGCCACTCACAGCGCTTGAGACTACAAAGCTCTTAGACACCTGGTCGCTGTGATTGGTGGTGTCCAATCGAGATCACCCCCTTTCTATAGAAAGAGAAATATAAAATGTGTTACACAAGGAAAATTCAATACCAATTTCACGACACGAAACAGGTCGTATTCATAATCGATTCTTGCTTTTAAGACTGTCTTAAGTACAATCTTAAGATGTCATAAGTCAATCCGTGGACTGTATTAGCATCTCAAGACATTATTTAAGACAGTTTTAAAATAAAAACGGACTATGAATATATATATAGCCCCATATTTAGCGTTTCACAGTTGGCAGCTCTTAGGCTTTTATCGACATTCATAGATAGAGAGGTCGGAGATTTAGAGAAGGTTGCAAACTGTACACGCCATGTTATTCTTCCACTATGCATGATACGTATTAGTATAAGTTATTTGAATTTAGCGGCGAGAAATCACATTTCTAAAGTCAATCTTATTAGAAGATACTGTAATTTTCAATTCTGTATGTAGCAGTACTAAGCAAATGCATTTTGAATTTGCCGCTTAATGTTGACGTAGTTTAGTTGCAGTTTCTGATTGGTTGTCGGGAGCTATCATGCGCAAGAGCATACCCTTGTATTTATACCATGAGCTCAGTATCAGGCTGCTCCTTGCCCTGATGAAGTGGACTGCAAGGTTCATGAAACGTTGGCATTTCAAGAATGGATCTGGACATGAAGGAAACCCGCGAAACGCATAACCTTCAACATAGAATAACTTTAAAATAAAATAAAAATAAAAGAAACTGCAATCAAGAATATTATTGAGATCATTTGTCATTTTAAATTTAACATACATAAAAATGTGATTTTATGAAATAACTATAATACTTACAAAATAATAGTTTTGTTTTAATCTTAAAAATAACTTTATCTTCAATCAGTATTTTTGTGCATAATTTTTCTGTTTGAACTTATCAGCCAATATTCCTGCTCCCACAGTCTTACTTTCAAAAGCTGATATATTCTTACGTTTTTTCTGTAGCACTCAGAGTTACCGATAATTGTTTTACGCTTATTGGCACAAATTGAGATATTAATTTGTCCCTATAATGGCAAGTGCTTAAAGAGAGATGTTTCGAAACAGTTTGACAATAAGATACTAAACTGTCATTCAGGGACTTGTCTAAGAATAATAATTTGAACTTGGCTTTCCATATAATTTTTTCTGCCCTTTCAAGAATATCAAACACTTCTTTACTAACTCTTATTTGAGCTCCAGGAGTATAATCTAAAATAGCTACAAAGGCAGATAAAGAGGATAGTGTAAACGTCAAATCAGAATTATCTTGCAATTTCAAATAACAATCTTCACATTTGATAAAATTCATCAATTTGAAAACAACATATTTACACATTCTATAAAATATTTGTTGTACAGTCTGACATAGGCTCACAATCACTTAGAGCTTAGAGAAATCGCAATGTGTTTCTAGAATTTCTTCTTTTTCATTTAATTCAGTTGGAAATTCAAAGATATCTAATCAATTGACTAATAACTACACATTGTAGATAACTTCATAAAATATAAAACGAATTATAGAAGGAAAAAAAATTGTATTGACTCAAAGATACCTAAGAATTGTTAATTAAATTGTAACTGACAAAACTAGAAGTGCATTTAATGTATTATTTGATTAATTTGTAAATTGTTTAATTACTTATATAATACTGAAGATGGCCATATTCAAGGCCGAAACGTTTATTGTTTGTAATGATATGTCTATCTAATCAATTTGTAAGAAATATTATATGTTTAATATATGATTTAAATTTACTAACAATATCTAGTGTGTGGCGAATGCTCAAATTTTAATTGTTTATTTTGAAGCCATGTAGTCGAAAAATATTCAGTTAAAAGTACATTCGAAAAGGAAGAAGTACATTCAAAACTTCATTATATGTGTAACTGGAGATAGGTATTGCATGGTTTCCTACTATACACATCTGTTTTAGTCTGTATTTGAACTGAAGAGCTGTTGGCTTGGGATATCCTCTACATATGTATGAAAAACCACTCCCAACTATTTTGACTTGATTGGCCTGGAAAAAAGAAAAGAAATTATTCCTCGTTTAAAAGACAATTTTATAAGGGAGAGTTTATATTGGCCGTAACTGTATGCCGTAATCTGTAAAAATTGACCAATCACCTTTGAGTATTCCCTTCTTAAAGTCGAATGGGAATATTCGACTGTGATCAGTCAATTCTTACAGATTACGGCATACGGTTACGGCCAATATAAACGCTCCCTAACTGAATCATTGATTCCGTGATAAGTATTACACGAGCCTGAGATGGTTTCCATAAACCACATCCGACTTTCATATTTTCGAAAACATGAGACATATTAGTTTTAGAAGTTCTATTGTATCATTATATTTTTTAGGGTTGTGAAAACTGAAAGCATGGTAAAGGTTTCTTCCGGTCATTATGTCAAACCATTCTCTAATCAATCTAATAAACCAGGCTGTTGTTTCCATTTGCAGAAGTCCGTTACCTTTTTGGACTAGAAATGTTAACGCAGATGCAGTAGAATGATTTATAACTCTAGTAGAATTTTTGACTTTCAATTTACAGAAATGGTTTGGTCTTAATACTGTTTTGCTTAATTTAGGCGCAAGTTTTAGCTCCATGAAATTTTAAGACTGATATGAACTGATATTCAATATAATCCATATCAACATTCCTAGGTAAATTATATATTTCTACAACATTTTGTGGCAAGTAAATAAAATGATTTTCCACAGCCATTTCTTTCAAATTTTTTAAAACATGAACAGGATCTGGAACTAACTGTAACATAATCTCTGGATTGCAAGGTGTTATATAGCATACACCATATCTGCCTTTGTAATTTTAAACCCTAATTTTGTGAGCAATTTTCTATTTCCCATGTCACAAACCAAAACAATTACTTTTAAATCTACATTATGACATTTTTAAAGTATTTCTAAAATAACTTCTTTAATTGCATCATTTATTGAATAAGATAAAGTGAAGTGGTAAGCTATAATACATACTACTTCCAATGAAAACCAAGTCCAAACAATTGGAAAAGTAAAGCTTTACATGTCAATTTATTTGTATTACCAGAAGTCACATTTCCAATATATGCCTTTGTACTTGTATCAAAATCGATCTGCTCTTTAATCGCCATTTCATCAAATACTAGTCCACAGATTTTCCATGTATGTGAAATATGAAGAACGATCAACTGCAGATATTTAAAAACATCTTCAAATATGCTGGGGCCCTATTCTTGAATAAATATCGCATGTGGAAATAGCAATTCCATATACAATCGACCAATCACAGTCGAGAAACTGTCATTTTCGTATGAGAAAATTATTCGTGTCATTTATTGTTATACTCAAGAATAAGGCTGTAAATTGGGTGACACGATCCACTCACAGCACTTGAGACTACAAAGCTCCTAAGCACCGGTTGCTGTGATTGGTGGTGTCCAATCGAGCCGTGATCAATCGGGATCACCCCGTTCAAATTTTACTGTATTTTATTTCTTAAAGTTTTCAATGAAGGAAATGGAGCAACAAGTTTAATTATCTGATTATAATCATGCAATCCACATACAAAATGTAAGCCCAATCCTTTTTCAATTGTTTCATCTGACCACTTGAAACCTTTTGTAGTATCGTATACAATTGCTCTTTGTTGATCTTTATTAAGAATTGTATTAATTATTTCAGTATTTTCCTCGATATTTTTTTCTAAGTCATTAACTTTATTTTTTAGGATATCTCTTTCTTTTTCAACCATTTTTAATTTTTCTTTTAGTATTTCATGTTCTTCTGGACTAGGTAAATTCTCCGTAGACAATATTTGGTTTGCAGTACATTCTGATGATATATGTATGTCTAGATTAGAATTTGATCTGTAATTTTCCTCTTCAAAGAATGTCTCCAATGTATTTATATCAATGGGTTCTTTCATTACAACACAATGTGCAGTATGGATGTACTTCTTCATACGTTGCCCAAACATAATAGATTTTCCTTTTTTGAAAGGTAAACAATAATTATGTTCTTGTAATTCATTTGAATATTGCTCTCTTTTGCAATTGTTATTTTCTTGCTTCTCAGAATTTTCTGTAGCAGTATACGAATGATCACTTCTTAATTCTGCCTTTTTGTAAGGAAGAAATTTAGTTGATTTATTACATCGCTGTTCTGGTTGAATTCCTGCAAGAGATTTCTCTTTCATAAGTTCTACACATTTGCAAAAGAAACTTGGTATGGTACCTTTTCTTATAATTTTTTTGGTACCAATGCGGAATAATTCTGATGGATCGAAATGAACCTAAAAAATAAGAGGTACACGTTAGAGAAAAATATCTGTCCCACCAACTATCATTAACGTAACATCAATGTTAGAATTTTTCACGCAACTATGTAATCTTTACATTTGCATTATACTGAATTTAATATATTGATATTGAGTGAAAAATTATAACATTGATGTTATTTTTGTTGGTATTTACGGGAGTTACATTATAAAACATTTGTATGCATGCTTCGATACTGACCTCACACAGTACAGCTGATTTTGGAGGTTTCCAATCAGAAATTCCAACAGCATTAATCCATTTTTGTCTCAATTTTGGATCTCGAGCAAAGTTTATACAACCATATCTTTCTTTATTGGAATTGGTGCACCTGGGAGCACTACACCTGGCAGGCATTTTGTAATGTGCATAAATCCTGATATCTGAAATGAAAAAATTCGTAGTTTTATTTCATGTATATATGTACAATAAAGGAAGGTATTGTGACCATAGTTGTGAGCAACGGCACAACTTCGCCGTGATCTTTATTATTTTTCCTAAACAGGTGTCCCTACTAAATGACTCGATAATCAAGCAAACTCATCGCTAAATATTCACACTTTTCACAAGCTCAAGTTGGGCGCCAGGCACGAGAGAGCATGCCCTTCTTTCGTTAAATGCCGCTTATTTTATCAGACTCACGCGCAATTGCAATTCATGACGACAACAAGGGTGATTCGCTACTGACGAGGAATATATCGGAGAACAAGAGAGACAGACGGCAATGACACAGAATTTAACATGAAAATGAATAACAAGTATATTTCAAGGCATTCTTTCATACAGATGTTTGTAACCGCTCGTGAGTAGTCTGTCAACCCCCGCGACGACCAAAATTATTAAGGCCCGTCTACAATACATGGAGTAAGAAGTAAGAGTAAGAAATTGACCAATCACAGTCGAATGTGAGAAGAATAATCGACTGTGATTGGTCAATTTCTTACTCTTACTTCTTACTCCGTGTATAGTAGACGACGCCTACGAGAGGTCAGGGATCTTGAAAAAGATCCCTCACCTAAGCGAGGTTATAAGTATTTACACCGTCGCGACCTGTCAAGGCTCGTCTACAATACACGGAGTAAGAAGTAAGAGTAAGAAATTGACCAATCACAGTCGAATGTGAGAAGAATAATCGACTGTGATTGGTCAATTTCTTACTACCCTCACCTAAGCGAGATTATAACTGTTTACACCGTCGCGACCTGTCATGTTTAGGTTAGATTTAGAGTATAGGTGGCGGCCTAAACGTAGGGTGTAAACTAGGCCATTGGTCGCGTTCGGCAGACTCAACTGTATGGAGCAAATCCGTGAGCGCTCGCTGCTATTGGATGATCTAGAAGAATACACCAATATGGCCTAAACGTAGGGTGTAAACTAGGCCATTGGTCGCGTTCAGCAGACTCAACTGTATGGAGCAAATCCGTGAGCGCTCGCTGCTATTGGATGATCTAGAAGAATACACCAATAGCAGCGAG